CACCTGTATGAGAGTTTGCAGAAAGGAGCCTCTTACTGTGTTTGAAATGTTATCTGCCAGAACTCAGGACTGCATCTTCCTTGGTTAGGAGAGATATGGGAGGATCACATGGGGCAATGGGAATATCCAAGAGAAAGGAAAAGGGGAACACTCTGACTCTCCCCCCTCACTGAAACTTGCCTGAACCATTTTTTTCTGGCTTGCTGTCTGTCCACTAAGGGATCTTCAGTAACTTGGGCTCCCAAGGAGCCAGTGTGCCTCATCTAGAGTAGTTAAAATTAGTGTTCTCCCTGTGCTGGTTCCACAGCATATCTTTTGTGGGCGACACCACATCTGCCATGAAAAATTCTGTACACCTGAGTTCATGGGTTGGCAGCTTTGGGAAAGCTCCTCACCTGAACACAGATCCTCATCAGAAGGCAAGAAGAGGGGGAGGCCCATGGAAGCAGAGCAGTGTAAGCGTGGTCTTTGTGACACCTGAGTTTCTCCTTTTTTATCAGGTCTTTTAGAGACAGATGTGAGCAGGACCCAGGTACAGAGAGCAAGCTGGAGCCCTGTGCTCATGCTGCCACAAAACCAAAGGGTGAAAGGGAAGGGGGGTTCATGTGCAATGCAAAAGGGCCCCAGGCTTTCCTGGGGTCAAGGCACTCTGGAGCAGAGTTCAGCTCGGACTGTGCCCCTGACTCTGATCATTGTGGACAGGACACTCCTACCTCAGGTGCATCAGCACCTGATAAAAAGGAGAAATGGCTTTCCTTCTGCCCTCTGAGTGACAGCATTTATTGAAGTTTCTTCCTTCCTGGAGCACGTGTGTAAAGCTGATCTCCTGCTGTCACGGCCTCCCTGTCTCAGTGCATTATCCTGCAGAGCCTGAGGAGTAGCTGCTGCCTGCTCTGCCCAGCACTCTCAGGCAGCAAGCAGAGACCTCAGCACATCTCTGGATATCCCAGGCTCCTGCCTGGGAGCCAAGCTTGCACCCCAGCAGTGCTGCAAAGGGACCCTGCAGTTCAATCCAAGTGCCACCAAAGCTTGGGTGATGTGTCCTATCTCATCCTCTCTAAATGTCCAGAAGCCAACACAGCTGCCACATCTGGAGACAGCTGGAGTTCATTGACACAATTTTTTGCTTCATTTCAAATCTAACTTTGTGCTGTGCAGGCAGTGAATGCCAGCCTCTCTCTGTCCCACAGTGGCTAGAACATCCCCTTCTGTCCCATTTGTCTGGCCACCTCACCGCTTGAACTGCAACAGATTGTCACGTTTTTCTGATAGAACATAGCTGAAAACAATTGTTCTCAGTCTCCACTTAGTTTTGCTGCTTCTGTTGTAATCCTGAGAGAAGACTTGTGCATTGAGAAGTCTGTCTTTCCTCTCCTGGGTCAGTTTGTCCCTAAGGATCCACGCTTTCCCTTCAAATCCTGTCTGAATCCCAGAACGACAAACAGGGACACCAAATGTAAACACCTGAAAGAGCAAGAAAATAACCAACACACAATCCTTTTCTGTCTGGTACTGGTTCCACCCTACTCCTGTTGGCTCCCATTTTCACCCCCTTCCCAGCTGTCTTGCTTGCTTAGGATGCAAACAGAGAGTTAACATTTCACCAAGTGCCATACAAATCTGGCAACTCATGGACTGTCATGATGAACCATAAAGCCACTTCCCCTTCTGAATGGAAAAAAAGAGTCTCTGAGCAGCACAAACACACTGGGACTCAGATGGCCTGACTGGTGATTCTTGAAAACCTTGCTGTGGGTGACCTATAGGTGTTCCAGGCTGGCGAATTTTTTGGCAATGGATACACAGGACTCTCATAAACTTGTGGAAAATGACTCAGATATTTGAAAAAGAGGGGAAAAAATCACTCTAATGCACACCTGCATGGAGTCTCTTGGTCTGAGGTGAGTAGCCACATTTGGAGAAGCCATGGCAGCACCAGAAGAAACCAAGCAGAGCATCTCAGCCCTGTATTCCCCTTCAGACTCAGTGCTGTCCTTGCTGTGCCACTCCTGCTGGGTGGAGAGCATCTCTGAACACGAGCAAGAAGGAGAACTGCAGGACTCTGCAAGCACAGGATGAGACCCAGGATTCTCTCCAGGTCATGCTTGCCCCAGTGTGAGGCACAGCAGTGCCTTGTATCACACTGTGTGTGCTCAGAAATGTCCCCATGCTCCCCGAGCAGCCACGCTGGGCTGTGTCCCCACACCTGGTTCTTGGGACTTCACCCAGCCCAGGGGTCTCTGCTGTGCAGCTTCTGTGGGAAGAGGAGAAAGCTGCTCTCTACAGCTCCTGAAAGGAGATTATAGTGAGGGGGTCAGGCTATTTTCCATGTCTCAGGTTATAGGACTAGAGGAAATGGTTCTAAGCTGCACCAGGGGAGATTCAGATTAAAAATTAGAAATGATTTTTCGTTGAAAGAGTGGTCAGACATTGGGATGTGTTGCCCAGGGAGGTGGTGCAGTCATTGTCTCTGGAGGTGGTCAAGAGGTGTCTGGATGTGGCACTCAGGGATGTGCTGTGGGGTCAATATGGTAGTGCTGGGTTAGGTGACCTTGATCTGTTCCAACCCTGATGATTCTGTGATTATATGAAAGTGCAAATCGTCATCTTTGTCTGGATATGCCCTCCACACTTTAAGGAAGTCAGGCTCAAGACAGAAAAGTTTGGTGTGGTCCTAATGCGAGGCAGAGCTGGCTTGTGCCTGTCCCTGGGAAATCAACCATGCTGTGGAATACCCATCCTGGAGAACAGCTCCCTCCTGTCCCTCTGTGCTGAGGGCAGGTTTCACTGCAGCCTGGGGGTGATCTCTGCTCAGGATCCTTCTGAGAAACAATTTTTGCCCTTCCTTTAACCATGTCTGACAGGGAAGAGTTCTCCATTGCATGGAACTCTTCTGAAACTTTTGCTTCCAGAAGAGACTACCCCCAGCTGGTTGAGGAGCCCAGCCTCAGGGGCACACATGGAAAAGTGACAGCTGGGGACATGACTGATCTCCTACAGCTTTATCCTGAGCTCTAGTAAGCACACACAGCAGAATGGGATGGGTGAGGTGGGTTCACTGATGTGACACCTACAGAAGTTACTCATGTTTTGCTCTCTGCTTTTTGTTACAGAAATGTTCTCCTGGAGCTCTTCATCTCACTGGCACAGGGTGCCCAGAGAAGCTGTGGCTGCCCTGTCCCTGGAATTGTTCAAGGCCAGGCTGGACAGGACCTGGAGCAATGTAACCTGGTGCAAAGTGCCCATGGCAGGGGGCTGGAATGAGATGAACTTTAAGGTCCCAACAGATCTGCTACAGGAAGTTGTGCTGTTCCCAATACACATCTCTTTATTTTTTTAATACACTCTGCCAGTTCTCAAATGGGCCTCCCAAAAAGGAGTTAATCAGTCATCTGTATAAATCTGACAGGACAGGAGGAAAAGGCCTCAGGCTGTGCCAGAGGAGGTTTGGATTGGGCATCAAGAATTTCTTCACTGAGAGGGTTGTTAGGCACTGGAGGGGGCTGCCCAGAGAGGTGGCACAGGAGAGGCAGGCTGAGGGGGCAGGGGTGTTCCTGGGGCAGTGACCTTCCATGTCATGCTACCCTTGCAAGAGAAGTCACCTAATCCCTGGAGTGGGGGGTCTTGACTCTGGCACTGCTGATGATGTCAATACAATTTAATAATAACCACAACCATGTGCCAATGATGTTTCAACAACAAAAGTTTCAAATCTCTTCTGGCAGAAAGAACATTCATATCCTGCACAACCAACACCCCCATTGCAAATTAATATTTAAATTAATATTTACAGAAACTCCTACTGGGTACTGAGAGGGCCACACAGGGAGAACTGTGGCCAGTTTTGGGGTGCCCAGTGTAAGAAGGATGAAGAGGGATGAGACAGGGAGTCAGGGTCCCAGGGCATTTGCCTCATGAGTAGAGGTGGAAGAAGCAGGGTTGGTTTCACTTAGCAGAGAAGGGGCTGAGAGGAGAACTGCCAGAGAGCCACAACCAAAGATGATGGAGCCAAGCCCTTCAGGGTGGTTCCAGGTGATCAAAGAAAGAGTAATGGCCACAAATTGCCTTCCAGGAATTTTAGGTTAGACTTGAGAAAAAGATTCTTGCCCAGGAAGAGCAGCCCCAGGCTACCAGCACGAAGGGAATCTCTGTGCTTGGATAGACAAAGCTGAAACTGCTCCCCTGAGTGTTTGGGATAGTCCTGCTCCAAGCAGGAGACTCCCAGAAACTGCTCCCAGCTAACATTTCTATGATAAAAGGACTGTGTAAGACTAGGACTGAAGTTAAGGATTAAGGGATAAGGTCAGATTTTCAGTGGTTCAGCCCAATTCAGAACACTCTTACAAACTTCAGCTGTGCTCCCTGCACCAAGCACACCTTCCCTAAATTCACTGGCACACCCAGGTCTCAACTGTACCCATACTCAGCAAAACAGCAAAATTCCAGAGTTGTGTGATTTTTAGGGAACACAGGAGCACAAACCTGCTGTGGATATAGCCCCTTTAAAGGAAAAACCCAGTCACAGCCTCAGCTTCTTCCCAGGGCTGAACTGCTAAAAGTCTTTAAAGCAGTTCTACCCTAACACAATTATCCTCCATTTGGGCAAAACAGCCCAAGTTGCACTTTGACAGCCACAGTGTCCTCTGTGCTCGCTGGCAGGTCCCTTCCCCACTGTGGTCTGCAGTGCAGAGGACAGAGACTCTTTGGGTGGATATTTTCCAATGTTCCTTGAAATATGCATTGGCTCTGGTGGCCTTTTCATCACAATGCACACATGGGGAGCTGTAATTTCAACATCCTCTACCAAGACAGTGTTTCTTCCTTGAAAACTGCCCTCCCCTCCCTTCCACTCTAAGTGACAGTCATCTTTGCATAAATTGGAAAAGAAAAGGAAGAAGGAACAGAACATCCTTGACAAAGGAACTAATGACTCAAATGCTGGGAAGCCTGGGGTTCCCAAGGGACTGAGCAGCTCGCAGCATTGATTTTTAATGACTTACAGAGATTGGAGATTTGGAAGATCTCTCAGTGCCTCTGCAGGGATGCGGCTCAGCTGATTGTTCTGCAACATCCTATAATTAGAAAAAAGAAAACTTTGTTAAAAACCCAACAACAACAGCCTGACACGAAATGGAGGATGTTGCTGCTTGTTTCTGAAGTTGTTCTGGGCTCTTGCTGGAAAGCTGGAGTGGTTGGAAAGCACCACGTTGGCAGCCAGGGCAGGTGAGCTGCAGCCCAGTCTGGCCCAGGACGTGCAGCAGAAGGGCCAAGGGGTGAGTTTGGTGCTGCAGTGGGGGTGCACTGGGAGGATGTCACCACAAAGGGGGCTCTGCCCTGCAGACATGCATCTGTCACCCCAGACTGACACCAGTGCTCTGAGCCAGGCTGTCCCAGGCTGATCCTGGAGTCAGGCATGCTTTGCCCGTGTGTTCCAGTGGTTCCCTCCAGAGGGGATGGAAACCACCCGTGGGCAGCTCTCCTATCCCACTGAGGAGCAGCTGCAGGCACAGTGGGGGAGGAGCTGCTCACAGCTGTTTGCTCAGGACCTTGCAGCCCTGGCACCACTGGAACTGGAACTGCTGTGGAAAAAACCAAATCAGAGACTCCAGAGAGAGCAGGTGCTGTTGGGCTGAGCAGGCAGGACCAGGAGGAGCCCTCAGAGATGGAAGTGAGTATAGGGCATGGAGAAGGGCTGTGGAAATGGAGACACCTACACAGGTGATGGGAAAGGAGGAGACAAAGGTGTCACTGCACCCAGGGGTGGGTGTCTGAACAGCTCTAGGGATGGAGACAGAGTGAGAACCACACTCCAAGGACTGTTTCAGACCTGGTCAGACACAATCCTCTCTCACTGACCTTCTGGAGCACCACAAATCTGAGTTTAGTGGTGTCATCATCTCAGCAAAGGCTGTTTTTGACTCTGGACATGCCTCTGTCCTGAACCTACTTGCTCCTTCCAGAACTGGGACATCACTGACACATGCTTCCCTGAATAACAGACACATCCCAGCAAAGTAGCTGGGACAGGGGAAGTGCCTAAAAAAGGACAGTCTTACATATCTGAGGTTACTCTTTAGAAAACCTTATAAGAGTTATTGGAGATGGCATGAAAAAAGAAATGGTGCTTAAGGTCTTATCATAATTCTCTGCCAGTATCAAAGGAGCAGGTTATGGCCTTAGTGGTGAGGGCCAGCCCAAAGAGCACAGACATCCAGGTGGGCAAATGTCCCACGAGGACCAGCACAACCTCTGGGGCCCCTGGTCCTGCTCATGGATTTGTTTCTGCAGCCAAGGTGTGCTGGGGAGATAAAACTCTGGGTCCTGCAGCCCAGTGAAGTGGAATAATAATTCATGTCTGTTAAAAATCAAGAAGATGCAGAGCTGAACACGGAGAGATACAGAGTGGGGCTTCAAAAAATGCTTTCAGGGTTTTGGTGGGGCAAACATTGAATCTCAGTGGCTCTCTGAAATCTGAGCCTGGTGTTTAGTGTTGATCATTGCAAGTATCTGAAGTCAGTACTAAAGCAAAGCCCATTGTCACACTTCTGCTGGATCCTGCTGCCTAGCATTTATTACAAGTCCCTTCTCTATCCAGTAAAACAGACTGAGAGACTTTCCAGACCACCATCAGCATGGACTGGTTCCAAAATGAGGCCATTTTGGTGCAGACAAACAATATTTAAGGAAGATGCTTCAGAGACCTCAAAAACCACTGGAGTGGTGGACAATGCTGTTTTTCACAGCAGCAGGGCAGCTAGAGAAGTTTTCAGACACTGGGACTGGGACAAGAACCAGTGCTTCTTCACATTGCACATAATGAATCCAATAACTCATCATCAGAGCATGACACAGAGAAGCCAAAAACCAATTCCAAACAGAATTTGATAATATTCTAGGGACAAGGCCATCCTGGTATTAAACAAGAAATTCTTCATTCAGCCTCAAGCTCAGGAAAGCTCCAGCTTTTCTTACAGGTTTTAGAGGAAGATATATTGCATTTATTCCTGGGTGTCCCAGGATGGCTTCTCTTACAGTCTGGTATCAAGGACAACCCCCATCAGCCCCTACTCACTGCAGTCAATCCTTACACATCACATTAAACCACCCTTTACTTTACTTTTTTTTTTCTTTCATAAACAACATACAACATGACTGGGATCACATCTCCTCTCTGTGGCACTTGGTTCCTGGGGCTGCTCCATACCAGGGCGCCTGGGCAATGCTAAAACAGGAGGATGGCAAAAGGGTTCAGAGCACAGCAGGGTATCTGAGAAACTGGGACAGGGCTACTGGGTCTCTCTCTGTCTAAGTTGTGGCATTTTGCCCTTTGGGGTGCTGCTGTTGTATAAGAAGGGGTGTCTTGGGTTGCAAAGCAGGATGTAACCAAAAGTATGTATCCTATCACCATATATTGAAACCAGCTGGGGCAGTGTTCTCTATCTCCTCCACAGCCCATCCTCCTTCCAGGAGATCTCTCCTGTTCATGGCCATGCAGTCCCAGGGCAGGGCTGATCAAATTCCATCATCCCATTGGGAGATGCTCCAGCCAGGGCAGGAGCCGAGCATTTCCTACCCAGATCAAAGGTGAGATTTGGAACAGCAGAGCAGCCTTTTCCCACTGGATCCCAGAGGAAAACCAGAGCCTTCCACATCATCCCTGGAGCTTTGGAGGAAAACTGCACCTTGTGCAGGAGCCCTGCTCCAGCAGAACCACATCTGTCACTGCAGGAGGATGCAGCCACCATGGAATGGGACTGCACCAACCCTGACTGACTGATGGGGTGTCAGGGTGTATTCTGACTCTGTCAGTGTTTTGGGTTTGTTTTCTGTAATACTGTATTTTTATTTTAATTTTCATAGTAAAGATCTGTTATTCCTATTCCCATATCTTTGAGAGCCCCTTAATTTCAAAATTATAGTTATTTGGAAGGAGGAGGTTTACATTTTCCAATTCCAAAGAGGATCCTCCCTTTCTTAGCAGACACTTGTCTTTCAAACCAAGGGGGAAGCCAGTGCTGCAGCTCCCTGAGGAGAGCACCCAGAGCAGGAGGCCGGGGCTCCAGACCATCTCCAAGGATGCAGATATCCTTACATCCTTGGATACACTCTGCTTCAAGAGGTCACTGCACCATTTATGTCAGCAGCATTGAAAAGATGGAACAACTCAGCAAACCAGTCATCTGTCATCTCCTGCCTTCATGGTCTGAAATGCAGGGGCAGACACTGTCCCCTCCCTGCATTCAGGCTCCCCCAGGACAGGAAGCTGCTTTCCAGGGTGCGAGCAGGGATGGTGGTGCAGGGATCTGAGTGGAACCCAGGCCTGCTGCAGGGTGACACGGATGGTCTCTGGAGCTGGACCTCAGTCCACAAGACAACAGCAACCCTGAGACCCCAGATCACACAGGCCTCAGCCTTTGTCTGTCAGCATCTGTCTATTCCTGCCTCTCCATCAGCTCCTGCCTTCAAACAAAATCCCAGGATTTCACTGGCTTTCCTACAGCAAGGTGCTGCTTCACAGCCTTAGAGCTCAAATTCTTGTGCCCATGGAGCAATCCTGCTCTAGCTGATGTGACTTCTCAGTGGCTGAGTCTAATTTTCTTAGGATTTATTCAGGGTGCCCAGAGAAGCTGCAGCTGCCCCATCCCTGGCAGTGTCCAAGGCCAGGTTTGGGGCTTGGAGCAACGTGGGATAGTGGAAGGTGTGGAATGAGATGGTCCTTAAGCTCGCTTCAAGTCCAAACCATTTTGTGATTCTATGACCTTGCCGGTTGATGAGCCAACTTCTGGACAAGCTGAGGACACTGATGAACATGACAAAGACTGTTCAGAGCAGCAAGGATTCAAACCCAAGTGTGGATGGAGCACTGTCACCTTGCCTGGCACTGTTCAGGTGATACCAGGGCTTGCAGATGCTGGCACATGTGGACACAGCACCTGCTACCCACAGCAGTCTGACTGGAACCAGAATAAATCACAGCTCCTCAGAGGTCAGGTTTCATTTTCAGAAGTAGGAGGATTGTTTTTTGGCAGGGACCATGCCTAAACAACCAGAAAAATGTTGGGATCAGGTCCCATCACACTAGGATCCTTACACAAGAGAGTCTCAGCAGACACACAGCCCTCAGAGGTACAGGCCTGTGCATGATACAGTGTCCCCATCCTGGGAGGCTGAAGTGACTCAGCCAGCACAGTCAAAGGGCTGTTATTGCTGGAGGCAACATCCCTGGAGCACATGCATGGGGATTAAAGACATTCCAACCTCTGCACGTTCCTCTTCCCTCCCAATGGGAGCGTCTCTTGGATGTGCCACACCATTCCCTTTGTCTCAAAGCCATTTCTGTACTGCACAGGCTCAGGGCTGACCAAGAGGTAAAGTCTGTCTAGGGATTTCTGAAGTCCCAAACCACCTCCAAACCTGCTGTGCTGGGGTAACATGACTTTTTTGGTGATGTTTGTTGATGTGTGCTCACACACCAGGCGAGCCAGCACCTGTCCTGGGCCACAGCAGGCTCTGTGGTCACTGCTCAGGAGGAGAAGACGAGGGATGGTGAGGTGGCCATTGGGGAGGGCCCATCCAGGGGATGTGGCATGTGCTGGACAAGGCCACTCTTGTCAGGCTCTGTCCAGCCCACCTGTTGATGAGG